TTGTGTGAATCCAATCAACTGAATATTTTATAAGTCTTTTTTACAGACTTTTTTGGATAAAATATTGGCAAACAAAATTTTATAAGCATTATTTATAACTTTTATAAGGATTTTAAGTATTTGATAAGAATTTGATAATGATTTTATACGGATTTGATAATGATTTTTTTACAGACTTTTTGCCGAAATTAGGAATTTCTATAAAGATGTTATAAGTCAATGTATATTAGGAATGATAGGCAATTGCAAGCATTCATCAAGAAGTTTGTAGAGAGTGAAGGTTGTGTGAATCCAATCAACTGAATATTTTTAGTTACAAACTCTCTCTAAGATTCAAAGTTTTTATTAGCATTTATTTTTTATTTGCATTTATTGGATTAAAAACAGAGRTTTTTATAGAGRTTTTATGARTAAAGTGTTTTATAMAACATTTTATYTGWTGTTCAATATATAAACCYTTAAAATATCTCRATTTTATAAGCATTTTGTACAACTTTTTTAAAGATTTTATAAGTCTTTTTTACAAACTTTTTTGGATAAAATATTGGCAAACAAACTTTTATAAACATTATGTACAACTTTTATAAGGATTTTATAAGTATTTGATAAGGATTTGATAAGAATTTTATACGGATTTGATAAGGATTTTTTTACAGACTTTTTGCCGAAATTATGAATTTCTATAAAGATTTTATAAGTCTTTTTTTACAGATATTTTTGGATAAAATATATGCAAACAAACTTTTATAAGCATTATGTACAACTTTTATAAGTATTTGATAAGGATTTGATAAAGATTTTATACGGATTTGATAAGGATTTACTACAAACTTTTTGCCGAAATTAGGAATTTCTATAAACAAAAACATTTATCGTGTATCATACGTTTATGCAGTCTTGGCATCTTGATTGTATCAACAAAAAAGCAAAAGAATCTTTTCTAGACTTTTTTAAAGAAAATAATTTTTATCGTGCATCATAAATTTGAGATAAATGAAAAACTAGGTAGACCGACGAGGTCTTACATTCTTTGAGCTTCCAGCTTCATCCCTTGGGCGGGTTCTTACGTTTTGAGCATCCATATTCATCTCAACACCAGTAATAAACATATAAAACTGAACAACATCAGTTTTAAAATCCTTATCAAATCCTTATAAAATCCTTATAAAAAACTTTAAAAATCCTTTAAAAATTCTTATAAATTC